CAGGCACGCGCCACCATGCCCAGCTGATTTTTTGTACTTTTAGTAGAGACGGGGTTTCACCATGTTGACCAGGATGGTCTTGATCTCTTGACCTCGTGATCCACCCACCTTGGCCTCCCAAAGTGCTGGGATTACAGGCATGAGCCACCGTGCCCAGCCAGTTCCAAGCCTTTGCTATTGTAAACAGTGCTGCTATGAACAAACGTGTGCATGTGTCTTTATAATAGAACGATTTATATTCCTTGGGTCTATATCCAGTAATGGGATTGCTGGGTCAAATGGAATTTCTATTTCTAGGTCCTTGAGGAATCGCCACACTGTCTTCCACAATGGTTGAACTAGTTTACACTCCCACCAACAGTGTAAAAGTGATCCTATTTCTCCACATTCTCTCCAGCATCTAATGTCTTCAGACTTTTTAATGATTTCCATTCTAACTGGTGTGAGGTGTATCTCAATGTGGTTTTGATTTGCATTTCTCTAATAATCAGTGATGATGAGCATTTTTTCATATGTTTGTTTGCCTCATATATGTCTTCTTTTGAAAAGTGTTCATATCCTTCTCCCACTTTTGGATTTTTTTTTTTCCTTGTAAAACTGTTTTAGTTGTTTGTAGATTCTGGATATTAGCCCTTTGTCAGATGGGTAGATTGCAAAATTTTTTTCCCATTCTGTTGGTTGCTGGTTCACTCTAATGGTTGTTTCTTTTGCTACACAGAAGCTCAGAAGTTTAATTAGATCCCATTTGTCTATTTTGGCTTTTGTTGCCAATGCTTTTTGTGTTTTAGTCATGAAGTCCTTGCCTGTGCCTATGTCCTGAATGGTTTTGCCTAGGTTTTCTTCTAGGGTTTTTATGGTTTTAGATCTTATGTTTAAATATTTAATCCCTCTGGGGTTAATTTTAGTGTTAGGAGTCAGGAAGGGGTCCAGTTTCTGCTTTCTGCACACTGTTGGCCGGTTTTCCCAACACCATTTATTAAACAGGGAATCCTTTCCCCATTGCTTGTTTTTGTCAGATTTGTCAAAGATCAGATGGTTTTAGATGTGTGGTGTTGCCTCCAAGGCCTCTGTTCTGTTCCATTGGTCTGTATTTCTGTTTTGGTACCAGTATCCTGCTGTTTTGATGACTGTAGCTTTGTGGTATAGTTTGAAATCAGGTAGTGTGATGTCTCCAGATTTGTTCTTTTTGCTTAGGCTTGTCTTGGCTATGTGGGCTCTCTTTTGTTTTCATATGAAGTTTAAAGTGGTTTTTTCCAGTTCTGTGAAGAAGGTCATTGGTAGCTTGATGGGGATAGCGTTGAATCTATAAATTACTTTGGGCAGTATGGCCATTTTCACAATATTGCTTCTTCCTAACCATGAGCATGGAATGCTTCTCCATTTGTTTGTGTCCTCTCTTATTTCCTTGAGCAGTGGTTTGTAGTTCTTGAAGAGGTCTTTTACATCCTTTGTTAGTTGTATTCCTAGGTATTTTACTCTCTTTGATCCCTAGCTGGTGAGGAGTTGTGATCCCTTGAAGGAGGAAAGGTGTTCTGCTTTTTGGTGTTTTCATCCTTTTTGCACTGCTTTCTTCCCATCTTCATGGCTTTATCTACCTGTGGTCTTTGCAGTTGGTGACTTTTGGATGGGGTCTCTGAGTGGACATCCTTTCTTTTGATGTTGAAGCTGTTTCTTTCTGTTTCTTAGTTTTCCTTCTAACAGTCAGGTCTCTCTGCTGCAGGACTGCTGGAGTTCCGCTCCAGACCCTGCTTGCCTAGAGATCACCCACGGGGGCTGCAGAACAGGAAGGGTTGCCACCAGTTTCTTCCTCTGCTATCCTTGTCCCAGAAGGGTACCCACCAGATGTCAGCCTGAGCTCTCCTTTATGAGGTGTCTTTTTGGGTATATGGGGGTTGGGGAGTTACTTGAGGAGACAGTCTGTCCCTTATAGGAGCTCAAGTGCTGTGGTGGGAGCTCTGTTGTTCCATGCAGAGCTGCTGGGCAGGTACCTTTAAGTCTGCTGCAGCTGAACTCATAACCACCTCTTTTCCCAGGTGATCTGTCCTAGGAAGGTAAGCTTTATTTATGAGTTCCTGTTGTGCTGCTGCCTTTTTTCATAGATGCCCTGCCCCATAGGGAGTAGTCTAGTCACAGTCTGTCAGCAAAGGCATTGCTGAACCACTGCAGTCTCTGCCCAGCTGCTGTGTGAACTGCCTCGGTAGTGGCAGACTTCCTCAGTAGCCGGGGATGCCTTTCCCCCCACTGAGCTGGACCATCCTGGGTCCAGCTGCCCTTGCTGTGAAACTCTAAATCCAGAGCATTTCAGATTGCTTGCTTTGTGGGGGTGGTACCCACCGAGGCA